TTGAAATTAGGATTCGCATATACAACATCCTTAGTGCATCTTGTTTTGTAGTCTAGTCTGAATCATCAAAGTATACGATTTTTTCTGGGAGATTAGGCTCTGTCCGTATACTCGGACACAGGAACAGTGAAAACATTAGGAGAAGCACATCAAGTTAAACAACCTAATTCTTCTCATCAGATCCCCCCATTTAGAGCAGTCTTTTCACTCGAGCAGTCTATCATTAAGCAGCAATTTCATATGCAAATGAGGAGATGATTTTCTTTTTGGAAACCAGAAATATCTTTACCTGCTGTTTTTTTTTTTTAGAAAATCATTTCCATGTTTTGTCTTGTTTATGTCCCCATCCAGAACAATGTTCTTTCTTAATTGCATTTCAGCAGTGTGCTGTAATTGTCTGGAAACATCTCTGACAAGCAGGAGAAACGAATAGATTATGTTCCACATAATGATCCTTTTTCCTAGCCACCCACTTCAACAGTGACATGATTGCATCGAGTTTGAAAAGAAGATTTAATATAAAATTCTGTTTTAAAATTAAACCAAATAGTTAATATTTAGTGTTTAATGAGTTATGCATGTAGATTTTGTAGAAAATCCAGGACTTTATTGTTTGACAGTGTTTTTATAAGTGATCTTCCAAAATCTATAGCTCACCATGAAGAGAAGAAAAAGAGAAGTAGTGGCAGTTCTCATTCCCAAATTGTTCTGTGCTACTCATTCCAGCTCTGACCTCAGCTTCTCATACATTTTGACATTAGATCTGGCTCCAAAAACTAAGGTCCACTTTGTAGAGCTTCTATTCCTACTCTAACCCTTGTGGCTGCTCCACAGAGCAAGTCTCCCCCTCGTCCTGTACCATATGGTATATCTTTAAAGACCAATTCTGGGGCCTCTGTCATCAAATAGAAGGACATTTTATCTGCCGGTTTTAATTCAGCAAACCTCCCTGCATGTAGGAACCAGATAATACAAGAAAACCACTGCTTGAAAACATTCCCAACAGGTCTTTCAGAACCAGTACGCTGAAATGAAAACTACAGTTGGACACTTTTCTTCTTTGGCCACAGACTTTGGAACACTTAACCTTTGGACATGATCTTGGTAGAAACTCTAGTTTGTTTTTTAGCCAGCTATATCTTTTTTAATCTGTTTTTGTAGAAAAATCTTATTTCTATTTATCAATTCAATGAATTCATGATTTAATGTCTTACAATGTGCTATGTAGATCAAAATTCTTTACTTGTATTAAAATAAACTTTGTTATGATAACCCTAACCCTAAATTTTTTTAGAGCAGAATGTTTGTTTCTTTCATTGCAGCATTAGCAGACTGGCAGTGAGTGATGCAGAAACTGAATTCTCCTGTTGGTCCATAAGGAATTTTAAATAAAAAGGGAAGATTACAGCTAAAAAAATAAAAAAAACAAAGCTTTCTGGATCATTTAATGTATGAACAGTTCAGTTGCAGTGAGGGAAGCTTCAAGAGTCCTGCCTCTGTGCAAAATCTACTTGTGCATTCATGAGCAGAGCTTGCCCAACCCATCCAATACTAGAGCTGACTTAGGTAAAGTGATCAATTGCAAGAGGGATATAAATATTACTCAGAACAACATTAAAGATTGACAAAAAATAAATAAATCTACAATGATGAAAATAAAATGGCTTCGAGGTGTTTCCATAATCTATAAAACATTGGTTCAGAGGAAAAGGTGAGACCAATCTACAAAGATTTCTATTTTTCAAAGGTATCCTGATGCAGTCCAGACGGAGAGTTACTTCTGATCTTAGAATGTGGAGCATTACTTCTAAGAGTCATGCTATGCACTGTATTAAGAATGGCCTTTCCATTTCATCAGATGATAGTGGCTCAAACCCATATCCTCAAAAATCAGATGGAATAATAGAACCAAATAAAACTGATATATTCCAAGCTCCAAGGACAGAATAATGAATTACCACCAAACATTACTTTGTCTTGAAGTTCCCTTCTAGCATATGAAGTATGAATGTAATATTAAAATAATAAGCATTTGAATTACTGACTTAACATCATGTTGACATGTTAGAGATTAAAACACTTTAAGCTCTGTAAAATGTAAAAACTTTAAACCCTATCTGGCAACAAAAGTTTAGACCAAACTCAATGCCTTTTTCTATTAAGCTTCGGTGATGTCATAATGCAAATGGACAAAGACTGTGATTAGATTCTTGTGATCATAAGGCTGACCCTGCTAAAAATGATGGACAATTTTAGCTTTTCTTTTTTCCTCTTGAAATATTCTGAGAGGTACCTCACCAACACTAATCTGCAGAGAAAATGAGCTTCTTTGAGACGGGTTAACAACAGCCCATTGTTTGAGCCGTCTCACTCAGTTCTCACCTATCAATGCCCTCTTTCTGGTGCGGACCCCCACACAGTCAGCTGTGCAGGACGAGAACTTGGACCAGTTGGTTAACTGGCAGTCATCCTGGCAGGGGAGCTGACAACGCTGAGTGATGGCGGGCATGGCCTTGGCGGACCTCAGACACTCGCTGATGTCGGCCTGCGTCCCGTCCAGCTGGCGGCAGGAAACAGCTGGGACAATCAGAGGAGAATGAGGGGAAAAAATAAAAACAATGAACATTAATCATCATTTATGGTTTTAACACTGATTGCTGTCTATTAAAATATTATTTAAGACAATGTTTGTGGTAAAAAATAAAAGTGCATTAAATAATTCAATTGAAATATAGTAGATATAGTAGTGAATATCACTGAGATTTAACCATAATGTCACGCATTTTCCAATAAAGCCTCAGTAAAATGTGTGTGCTTATGAAAAACGACTCAATACCTTTCATTTAAAAAACACCTGAATTAAAAATAAACCTGAGGAGTGAAATTCAGATTGGATCTCATGGGAGGTTTAAAAACAATTATGACAGGAGCAGACACAAATGCGTTGGTGCTTCGATTGGTTTAAAACGCCACCAGTCAATTAGCTTTTAACTGCATCCTCCTGCTCTTTGTTCCCTCAATAAAGGGTGTTAGGAGTGCTGCTACAGTATTTCATTTTCCTGTATCCAGACATTCTGCAGGGCTATACCTTTATAGAGAAATCAATCTCACTGCACATTTTGTCAAACCCCCGTGGGTATTGCTATTGGTTCGGAAAGCCTCTATCTACTGGTGTGTGAGGTCACGTCTTATTGTTTGCGTGTTTGTGTGGGCTTGAGGGAGAGAAGAGCCTGTGGCTTTGTGTGTTTAATGGAGCCACCACAGGGTTTTTTTTTTCTCCCTTCAGGTGAGGGTCTCTAAAGGTAAATATCAAAATACATCCTGCTGAAAAAGAGTTGTAAGGAAGTAGCATCTTATTTGATCAAAGTCGATAACAAAAAGGAAGGAAATAAAACAGAATATCTCAAAATGAGTTTACAAAAGGTATAAAATCAATGAGAAGATAAAGGATTTGACCGCTGTGCTGAATATGAAATAGACCTTAAAGCACATTAAAAACAGATTGATTCTATCTGGTAATAATGTTAGCCAGTGATGAAGAAACAGCAAAATAAGAAGTAATAAAAGCTTCCTATTGGAGGTGGAACTGATCATTCTGCGTGACCCCTTGAAATTGGATTTTTATGAAAGCCTCCCAGGACTCTTTGTTACGGCAAAGCAGTAAGAAATCTGCTTTCTGCTTTTAAGTACTTGTCACATATGCATGAAGTGTGTATAAAATAGGGAATGGACTGGTGTGCTCTGAAGGAAAGGTGCAGAATCTTATCCTAAATTCCAACAAGAGACGTATGATTAAAATTGCATGACTCAAGCCTGAGGTAGGGGAAACATATAATCAGAGAAACAACTCTTGACTGCGAAACCAGCCTCAAGAGGAACACATTGAAAAGTGAGAATGTTTCAGTCCAAATCTCAAGAGAGTTTTGTGATATTCATAAGAGCTTTACCCTGAATTTTGCCTGTCATATAAAAAACTATCTCTTTCCTTAATCTAAAACTTAAGCCTGGGCTGAATTAGTGAAAAAACAGACATATATTAATAAAAAATATTGAAAAAAAGAGGAAAACATATCTAAGTTACCTCGGGTCTGAAGTCCTGGTCCACATGTTTCTTGGGCACCAGGAGTCTCTTTTCTGAGGAACCATGGGACCAGCTGACACTTCCTCCATTTGTGAGTTTTCCACCTTAAAATACAGTCAGGTGAGTTATGAATGTTATTGTAAATCACTACAGTTCTAGCAGTGACACAAATTATGCCTTTTTTGGCTCCAACATGTTCATATAGTTTTTCATTTTGTAAATTACAGAAGAATAAAAAAAAAACTGAAAAGAGCCTGTACACTGATTCTTTATACTATTATTGCCATAATCAGCTGGACCTGAACGAACCTTTAAGATGCAGCCTATCTGTTGCTATTAGTAACCAGAAAGTCGATCCATACTTAAAATTTAAAGGTAATATTTTAAAAGGTAAAATAATAATATCATTTTAAAGATTAATTAAATATAGTTGTACTACCTGAAACCAGGACAGACTTTTGGAACCTCACAGTCCCTTTCCTCCTGAAGCACCAACGGACACTCCTGCCCACCATTAGAAGGCATCTGGATGACAAGACGTCTCCTTGATTGCTTTCTCTTTGCAGGGTCACCAACTGAAGAGAGAATTGTTGACGTTAAGACAGAGAAAAGTCTTGAATTAAGAATAAGAAACAATAGAAAATGGAATGCAGGAAAGAATTAAGTCTAATTGGACAACTGTCATTCATCTCACATAGTAAATTAATTTGAAACTCAAGTCAACAGTAATAACAGATTAAACAAAGAGTTTGACCTTGATAATGACTATGTTTACCTCTATGGAATTTATACTTAAAGAGATTAATTATCTAATATAATTCAAACAACCATTTGAACAGTCCTGAATCTTTCATATGAACTCTTAAGTGGGCGGAGCACCATTCTCTGCATTATCAGATTACAATTAAGATGTAAATCTTTTCTTTTTTACATAGTGGACATTTGCATGACGGTTGTTATACAGTGCCATTATCAACAAATACGCATGGATGATCTGAAGCTGAGAGCTTACAACTTCTTAACAGCCAGAACAGTGAAAGTCTGACCAGAGACCTCAGCTGAAAAGGTTTCTCTCTCATCACATGAACACAATAACACTATATATTCTCTGAAACATGTTGCCTGTGGCAAGCTGATTTGCTAGACATACTAAAAGAGGTCAGCCCAAAGGTTGTCTGTTGTGCCAATCTGTCAAATTAATTATGTTAACAAGAAGTGAGTGAGGAAGCAAAGGCCTGAGGCTCAGGTCCAAGGCTGCAAAGAAAATTATATATATATTTTATGTGAGGAAGAGTTGGATGGGACCAGCTATACATTAATTATATGTCAGTATACCTGTATCACAGTTGACAGGACATCCTGTCCAGTCACTGAAAGGGGTCACAATACAGTCCTTCTTGCAGGGAAGCTGACATGGCCGCATTGTGCTCGGGCGAGGGCCTTCTGGACACCTGTAACACATAATAAATATGAAACTAATAAGAGCCACATAGCCATTAAAAAATAAGGGTTGACAGCTGAGATCCTATATTTCCTTTTTTTGTATGTTTTGAGAACGAAAAACAGAGCTTTTAAATGCAAAATTTTGAGCAGGTTCTGAACAATAAAACCTCCAAATAATAAAATCTTTAATACAGAAGAAGATAGTGGGCTTAAAGAGATAATAGCACGTTTTTCATCTTCTCTTTTCTTCAGGGTCAAACATTTGGTTAACCTCTTACTATGTTGTGCATCTGATTGACCTGAGAGACTTTATAATAGACTTTTTATGTATTTCTTTTATTTTTTGTCACACTTATGTTTCAAATCAATCTAATCAGAGAAACATAACCTGATTAAATTCCATTTTTAAACATTTCCTGCAACCTCCCCACACACCATTATTTCCACAACCAAAAGCTTTGTTATTGGCAGAGGATCTAAAGCAGTTTCCTTGGTTTTGTGAAGTGTTACAAAAAAAAAAAGACAAAGACCGGGTCAACAGATTAGAGCAGGCATCCCCAAACTCGGTCCTCAAGGCCCCCTGTCCTGCAGGTTTCAGAGGTTCAGCTTTCAATTAAAATCAGCTGTGCTGGAGCAAGGAAACCTCTAAAACCTGCATGACAGGGGGCCATGAGGACCGAATTTGGGGATGGCTGGGTTAGAGTATTATTTTGTGCACAGTAATGTTTATTTCAGTATTGATATAAGTGTCAGACAAAAGAACTTTCTCTGTCCCAGATGGAAGTGATTAAAACATTTTGCTAGAAAAGGAAAAACAACTGATTCAACAAACCATGAAAACCACAAACAGTTAAAGTTACATGATTCTTTAAACATTTAAATGCTAACATATCTTTGTATAAATAATTGCTATTTAATGCAAAGCATAGATGACATCATTAAAGTCCTCAATACACCACTGATCTGACATAACAGTTACTTCTTTGGGTAAGAGTTTCTCACAGAAATTGATTGTGTATTTTCTAAACCACTTTTCCCTCCTCAACTTGAAAAGGCAACATTTCACTTGTAAAAGCAGAGTTTGTACTTGAACAATAAACTTTCTATGAGAAAAGAAAAAAAATGTCTCTGTATTAATAGTCAACATTCTGTTCAGCCGTTTTTATTCTAAAAATCATCCAAGCTTAATAACCTACAGAAAAAAAGAATACTTACAAAGAAAAGCTTTATTTTTCTCTCTGTCTGCTTCTGTTGATACTTATGTCCATGTAAACAGTACAATCAGATTTTTTTGTGTGTTTTTTAATACATTTCATTGTGAAATTTCTGCATTTAAGCAGTTCATAGCTACATCTATGTGGACACAAATAATTGAGTGAAGGACAGATGAGGTTAAAAATGTCGCACAGAAGATACTTATTTCATTTGGCTTGATGGGAGAAAATTTCAATCTGAAAGAGAAAGGTGGTTTTTGCCGATTGCCACTACGATAAGTGTAAATGCACACACCCATTGGGAAATTTGGAGTAAAATAATTTCCACTGCATGTGCCTGCCGGTTTTAATTAGCCTAACGTTTTTCTTGAAAATTGGACAGTTCTGGGCATGCTTAAAATTTTTTTAATCTGTGTACATTTTGTACACATACAACATGATCGGATCATGTTATTTGGTGTCCATGTACACAGAGATTTTGAGCCTCAATTGAACAGAGGTAAGCTGAAAAAAATAATGCAACCACTTTTGGTATTTACTTAATCACATTTAGTTACTTTAACACAATTGTTTTATATCCTACCCTGCAAACATGAAACAATTTTTTTCAGTGCTGGACCTGGGAATTTTTGTGCATGTAGCTATAACTCTCAATGCATTTCTGAGACCTGTTCTTCCTTCAGTTCAGACAGAGCAGTAGAGTCCCACTAAATCATTTTAACATAGTTATTCCGAACTCTAAAAAGGCCAGTTTTGCTTATGGACCAATGAATATTGTATATTAGTAATGAAAAAAAAAAAAAAAAAAATTAACAATTGTTCTGTAAAATGCAATAATAAATGTCATTCCAAGTGAGGGTTTTCATTTTTTTCTGTTGAATTTAGCTTGGTTCACCATAAAGCATTTTGAAAAGGATTTAAATAAGTCTTCAAAAAAAAACAAAAACAAAACCATAATAGGGTAAACATAGGACCTTCAAAAAGCTCTGCCTCAGTCAACATGACACACATTATCAAATGAGTCTAAAATTAAAATGAGTGAATACCAGAACAGCGGATATGTTCGACATAAACCAATTAACCTGATAGGAAATGTGCATCATAGAGATGGCAGTGCCATGGATAGGGAAACCAGACACCAGCTAGACTTGGCCAGCTCAGCATCAAAGAATCCACTATAAATTCTACCTACACTTTGTAGAAACATGTCAAGCTCAGCAGAAGTGGAATCCTACAACATTACCCAAAACGTATACATTTGAACTATTTCATAACTGAAATCAAACCATTTCTAGATTGATTGATTATACTGATAGACGGCAACATGAAGCATCTCAGCAAAATGATTTCAATCAAATGATTCATGCATCATCTATCTATTAGAGGGAAAGTGTCCTACATATTTTTCATTTAAATATTGTTTCCATTGCAAACAACACCAACTATTTAATCATTATTTGTTTGGCCAATTATGTCAATAAAACAATGGAATTTTGAATATCTAATCTTGCTTTCCAACTTTTGGCCTGTGGTAAAATTATTTTGTTAGATGCATGGCATTACCAACATAGGCATCACTGGAAGTGTTCAACATATGAGGACTAAAGCTGCATCAGTATATAAACGCCTATATTCAAAAGGATTCAGCTATCACTGAGCAATAATCCCTTTGAAGCCACAGAATATGGGGTCAAGCTGATGTTGTTTAGGCCAAGGATGGCAGTTAATCTTCCGTCATTTAAGCACCTTAGGTCTCCTGTGGATACCAATGGAACAAGATAAATAGGTCACGATAGACTTGCTGGTAGTCATCGAGTAATCTCATCTCTCTGGGTCTGTCTAACTGGTCCACCAGTTCCAGGTTGCCATTTCATGTGCTAATCTTATGACTGATTCAGTCATCATCTGGGTCAGGGTTAATGTTGTTGAGAAGAAGCACCCTCCTCACATCACTGCTATCAGTAGAATGATAAAGAGCCAAGCAGGCAAGCTAAATGTACAGTACAGGCAACACAGGGAGATGTTTAATGTTAATAATAATAGATCTAAATCCCACTCAAGCAGAAAAAAATCTATCTTGGTTTTATAAAACTGTAAAGGTCCATAAAAAAACAAACAAATAGGATGTCTGACGGACCACTGCATTAAAATATTTCTGCATTTTCAGTTTCTTCTATAAGAACAATGATGTCAGTAATCAGGTGTCTCTCTTCAGTAAATTGTTTTCATAAAAAGGGACACAATTTTAAACCAAAGGCTGTACATTAGATCCCATAGGGAATCTGAATTAAGTCTGTGGAAATCCTACTGTAATCACCATAATCTCTACTTTATAGATACTGTTCAAAAAACAAAAAAGGGAGAAAGCAAATAGAGACAAATGATACAACACTTTAAGATCCAAATAAATGAAGCTCCACACAATCATATAACATATTTGCCGACATAGTTCAAATAATAATTAAAAAAAGTCTCAGTCATATCTGTTTTAGCAGTATTGACCCATGAAATGGTAATTAAAAAGTGACATTTCGTGCACATCTATACATACAATGAGTAACAATAAGGTTTTTTTTTTCACTTGGGCTGCTTAGACTGAAGGAACAGGCAGCATTTTATGCCCATTCTAAAAACATTTTACTGCCTTTTGTTACAGCTTCCACATGAAGAACCTTCAATTGTCCACAACCAATGCATCAAAAAAACAAAAAAAAAAAAAAACATGTATTAAATGGAAATTCTGCATTCTAAATTTTATGTAAAATATGCCTTCTGTTTAAAAACCACAATCAGTTTGATTTGTAAGTACATCAGCACCCACATGTGCATCAATGACTTACTCTACAACCTTAAGCAAGTCTTTAAGAATACATAGACCTCTAACAGAGGGTTGGAACTACCTAATATCAAATTGTGTATTCATATTTTATGATCTGGAATTTAATACTAGTGGGAAATGTTCAATCTAATTTTTCATGTGTCTATGCATACTGTACACACAAGCCCCCTAAGTAGACTAAGGACCAATGTGAGCAGCATCAACATCACCATCATGCAAAGTTACATTGTTTATTAAAAGATTAAGAGATTACAGCAACAATTTCCCAACAATTTTGGTCATATCACTTAAATTTACAGTTTACTGTTAATTTAAGCTTTTTACCGACCTAAAATGAAAATAAAAAAGACTTGTTCATCAATTGTGTCGTAAACTATATGTAAGAGCCCAGCTTTGGCGAGGCCAAAAGGAAACAATGCACCTTTCAGACAGAACTTTTCGTTAACAATAAAACATTCACATTTTGCACAATGAAATGCATGCTGTTGCCTGTGATACAGTATAATCATGTAACTCTTTGCTTGTAATTTTGTTATTACACAGCTTTTTTTAATGTCTTTATTATATAACATTATAAGCACTTTATAATTAATATCATAAAAATAGTTATAATTTCACCAGAATATCAATGACTTTAATTGTACGGATTTTTCAGGTCTGTCCTAACTTATTTAATGGTTGTCCAAATATGCTATTTTAAGACTATCAGCATTGCATCCTTGAAATGTAGCGCAAATCCACAAGCTGCAGGATCTCCTTTAGCTCCTCACATCTAAGTGCTGCAGCCAACATATCTGAGAATGAGCTGATTCATCCCTGTTTATGTTTTTACTTCATTAACTACCTGAATTTATCCACACAAAAAAAAAACATATGAGAAACAGCTGTTTCTCATATGTTTATTGATGGTTTAAAGGAATAGTACACCCAAAACATGATTAGCCTTCATTTTCTA